AAGGGAGGTGGGGTGGGGAACATCTGTAATACTGTCAACAATAAAACAAATATCTATTCCACTTATCTAGGAAAATAAAGGCAATAAATCATGTTAAAACATGAATACCATTCAACACTAAAAATTAACTCTACTTTTATGAGTCCAGAGATGAGTCAAATGCCTTACATAAGGAAAATTACCAGCTACCTTTCTATGGGGAGTGACAAAAAGAGAATATAAACTTCTCTGGGGTCTCTTCTTGCCCATTTCTCATCTTTTTGCCCAGATACCATTTTTGCAATTACTAAACAACAGATTTGAACCTTGATTCTATTGCACTTCATGAAGTCCTGCTGGAAAATGAAGTGCACAGATCTTCTTCAGCATTTTCAGTCTTACCTTCATTATCATAGGAGCCAGCCACAGATCGGGAGATATATCCAGGAACTACAGCAATCATGGCAGCAGCAAGAAGTCCAGCCCCTGCATCCTGTAAGAAAAAAGGGGTAATAGGAAGTTAACACCACTACATCTAAGAGGAGAAGAGAATATCCACTAGTCCATTCTGTTTAAAATGGGCCCAGAGCCTGGCTGGCGTGGCTCAGTGGTTGAGCATCGATGATCCAGGGGATTGCAGTTTGATTCCTGGTCAGGGTACATGCCTGAGTTGCAGGCTCAATCCCAGGTGGGGGGCGTGCAGGAGGCAGCCAATCAATGTCTCTCTCTCATCATTGATGTTTCTCTCTCTCTTTCCCTCTGCCTTCCCCTCTCTGAAATCAATAAAAATATATTTAAAAATAAATAAATAAAATAAAATGGGCCCAGAAAACAGTGCAACACTTTCAAAGGTAAATGTGATGCTAGAAATGCTAGAAATGTTCACAGCACAAGACAGCTAAAAACTTCACACCAATTCCCCTTGATACCAAATCTGAAACTGAGTACACATACGCTAAGGACATAACAAGTCCTGCAAGCTGTCAGACATCAGACACTGCCCAAGAATGGGTCATTTGGCCGGGGTATCCCCAGGCTTATGAATCCCTGTCCCTAATGGTATCTGTACACTGCAGGAACATGAGTCACACCTCTAAAAGCTATGCAATTACAAGCAAAGAAGACAATTATTATTTGACCTAAAAGCCAGCAGAGATAGGTGATAATCTATCTGGACTAAAGATTCCAGGAGCTGAAATAATCAAGCTGGAATAACACCAGGCAATATGTGAGCTCAGGAGAGAGGAATAATGAAATGTAATCCACACCCAGAGAGGAAGGACTTGCGTGTCAGTAAGAGTCAAACCTGGAACAAGGGCAGCAAGGAAAAGGGTAGAAAGGCTTCCAAGCCAAACTCAAGCTTCCCAAACCCTCCCGCTAGTTTAACAGCTCTCAGGTGGTTCCCTGGCATCACAGCCTCACACTAAGAACAGCCTCCAAAGCACCAGGCTCAGCAGTGCAGAACCCTGGAAAAGGAGAGTATTATGGAGTCTACTACAGAAGCCAAGTGGTTTAAAAATTTTTAAATAAATGTTTTAAATAACACACAAGTTAAGTGTTCATTTTCAGTAAGAAGAACTAACCACTTTAGAATATGTCCAGTGGTTAATTTTCCTCCCTTGTGAGAGCTTCAAAATCTAAACCTAACCTTTTCCATTTTAAATGTGTTCCCCCCTTACGTAGCAATTTACATTTGACCTTCAAATGTTCTCTTTAAAGGACACAGATGATAATAAGAAACTACATATTCTAGGGAGTGAACCAATAATTTGGCGCAACGAAAGCTGTCTTTAGCCTCTGGCTCCCTGCCCTGCTAAGGTTCAGTCCCCACCCCTTGCCATCTACTACAGAGGTTCAACAACATTCCCTCACAAGCATCCTATCACCGAAAACCCTTCACCTTGAGCTCTTTGGTAAGGTGGTACGTGACGATGGTGGTGAAGGAAGAGAAGAGAGGGGCCAGGAACACACAGACATTCCGAATGTCGATGGTGATGTGGAAAAAATGGAGTACATGGTAGATTGCAGCAGAGGTGATCATTAAGCCTGTAACAGGAAGAAGAAACTCCATTAGGTTATCCTAGGATAAAGAACTTAAGGGAAAATGCAAGTATCAATAAAGTGACAACACATGTCTTGTCAAACCACCAGAAATACTAACACAGCAACTGCAAGAGGCCTATACATTCTCTCCTAAGGATTCAATCAGAAGTCTGGAATTTATGAAAAGCCATCCATCCCCACTTTCCCATACATGTTCTCCTGTCTATATAAGATCCACTTTTAGGAATGTGTAATCAGAAATGAAATTACAAGTGTCACAAAATGAAGATATTAGAAATAAAAGAAACTGTTCCATAATATACAAATACCTGTTTCTGTTTAAAACAAAAAAATCCTGTTTCCCTCACCTGGGTAAATTGTTCCTCCAATGATTCGGCCCAGTGGGTACCAGGCCCGGTCATCAAACCAGTTATGGAATTTATAAAATCCCTCCTCAGCAAGGAACCTGGTAGTCCGATAATTAAAGTACCTATAGCAAGAAAAAAAAGATCCATGTCTCCTCTTCTTCATACTCAAATACTTGCACCAATTTGTAGTAATTTTGCTCCTCAGATTACACCATTGAGGAACTTATCATTACTCCAATAAAGTCAGTTTGGAACCAGGAACTATGCCAAGCATGAAAATCATTTTATATTACTGTAATTCTCATTTCTAGCTCCATGCTTGTCTCAACTAAAGCACTGCCTCTCTCATAAGGAAATGCAGCTAAAGCCAAACATTCTAATAAAGCTCTCCAGCAGGACATTTCATCAGGCTGGTGTGTCGTAGGCATTGCGACAAGGCAGATAATTCAAGCATTCAAAAGACAAAACAGCTGAGATGTGGGCACCAATATATCTGGCTCTTTTCAAGTGACAGGCACATGCAAAAGAACATTTCCATACCACACGCATGACACATGGATAAGTTCAAGTGATGAGCATCTCTGAAGATGTTCGTTTAACAACATATGCACGATGAAAATTTTTAACCCACTCCACAACACAAACTCCTTAATTCTCATATTATTTAAAATAGTTCTAAATGCCATCTACATAGTAGTGTAAAATGCAAATTACGTAAAAAATATTTGACATAAAACACTTAAAGAGTTACACATGGAAAGACACAGTTCTTTAGGTCCAAGCCATGTAACCCCTGCTCTTAAGTTTCTCACTTAAAAAGAAATTTTTTAAAAGGCAAAAAATATTAATAAACAAAAAATAAACAAATAAAAGAAATTGTTTAATTACTAAAGATAATCATGACTGACCTTCATTCCTGCTCATCCCTCTAACCCTATTTCCTCTTTGATCAATCAAGTTTTAGCAGCTAAAGCAGAAGTAACAGAAATCTCTAACCTCCTGTTTATTGCTAATGAATGTTATTTTGGTATTTTGGCAACTGTCAAAGAGGCAGAAGGGATAAGGGTAACAGGCAGTCAGCATGTGTCAGAACCGTGTCCTTTGCCTAACAGCAGGAGAGACAGAGTGAGACAGGAAGTATAAGTTAGTGGGAATAGGTCTGGACTATGGTCACATCCCGGGCTTCAATTTTCTGCTCTGCAAGAAGAAATGTCAAGTCACAAGATCTTTACAGACCCTTCCAGCTCTATGACTACAGAGCAGATATTCTTGCTTTCCCTGATCATCTCACCTCAATGTGTGCCCAAAGCAAGCCCTGACTGGTCATTAAGAAACAAAAGGATGTGAGTTTCCTCATTCACAAGAAAAAAGATAAATTGTTTCGGGGGAATCCCAAAGAAAGTATCTGTATGCTTTCAAAGTGCTTTCACATATCTACACAAACAAAATGACAAATTTGCAAATACATGCAGGAGCATTTTGAATCAATACTCCATAAGCTGAACATGCTATTTTTAAGATATCAGTATTTCAAGAACCTATGATTCTGGCTTTCCAAATTTTAATTAAGCCTTAACTTTAGGCAATATAACATAGTGACTCCAGTGTCTAGATAGACAAACCCAGAGTCAAATCCTGGCTCCTCCACTTACTAAATGTGTAACCCTGAACTGTCTCTCTCACCTTCAATCTCTTCTATGAAAAGGAGATAAAGTGCTACCTCCATCTCACAGGGTTGTAGTTAAGTTTTAGAGCTAAATCTGTAAAACAGTGCTTGGAAGAAAATGAATGCTCAGTAAATGTCTTTCACCTATATCTTTTTTATCTAATAAACAAAATCCCTAATAACTCATAGCTTCAAATTTTCCTCAAAGTCTTAGAACTGAACTGATAGGCCCAATTTCTACCATATAAATTATTAAACAGAAAAAAAATGTCATGGATCTCAAGTTCATGGCTTGTGATTTTCTTTTCAGCCTAAAACACACACCAGGCCCCTTTCCCTCAATCTGCACCACTAACTGTTGACCAAGCTGAAAAGCCAAATTGCTCTTAGCCTAGCCAGATCTTACGTGACAGGCAGGCACACCAGTAATGAATCCTACATTTTTTATAAGTTTAAGAGACTCACTTGGTTAATTCTAACAGCAATGTTTCAAAAGAAGACAATTATCTCCTTTGGAAAACTTGAGTGGTTTTCCCCATCACTAAGACCTTACTGGAATGTGAATTTGAAACCCATGAATCTGAACGTTTCTCAAAGAAAATACCAGACCAAGCAAATGTACTCACGGATCAAACTCATGGATGACACTTTCAAATCTCAGGACAGCAAAGAGACGAGTGGAGAATGCTGCAAAGACCAGAGAATCAGTATGTTAATGGTAATATGCCATGAATAGTAGATGGTAGTATTATAAAGTTAAAAGCATTATCCAGCACATAAGTCACAGGAAATATAAAATGATCCCTGAATGAAGTATTTATCCATCCCTCCCACATAAAAGAGAAGTTCACTTTCTCCTGACAATGACACTTACATCTTCCACTTAGGCAGGACACATTTAACTAGTTATTATCAATGCCTATGATGATGCATTCACCTATTAATAATGCACTCAATTTACATGGTCATCTTTTATATACGTTGAGTTCCCCTAAACTAACCTTAACTTTGGAGCAAACCAAGAGGTAAGGCAGTCAAGGCTATATTTAAAACTCATAAAGAGCTAAAATATCTAAAAACAGAAAGTTCTTAAAAGACTTTCAGAAATACTAAGGTAGGCAACTAAACTGAAGAAAATTGTCCCTCTGAAATTCAGTATCAGAGGGTCCTCAGTATCTCTTTCAGAAAACAGAATTAGCACAGCATGCTTCCCATTCTTTCCCAGATGATCACTAGTCCTTTTATAACCCTTGTTTCTTTTGCCTTCATAAAATTATACTGATGGAGAACCGCAAAAAGAACATATCACAATCTGCTGAAAAGAATAAGAAAGCCATTCTTGATTTTTTTCAAGATTTTTCTCCTTTCCGTCCCCAAAGAAAGAGTGGTCCACGTGCACACTCACATAACACAGCAGCCATTGACAGAATGAGAAGCTTCAGAAGTGTGTCCTGCTTCTCATAGGACAGCCGCAAAAATCCCAACTTAGTCATCTTGACATCGATGGATGGCAACAGAGGACACTCAAGTAGCTAAAATGGAAAAAAATCAAGACCATAAGATATTGAGCACCTTCAACTTACCTAATTCACGTTCATATTTTATGGTAGTAGAGAAACATAAAGGAGACAGGAGCGAGAGAACACACCAGAGAGGGTCAGGGCTAATACTAATACCCAAGTCCCGCCTGAATTACGATCGACTGGCAAGGAAGAAGGCACAAGTCAGGCGCGTGTGCCAAGACTAAAAAGGAATGATCAGACCTGGCACCATAATCCTGTTTCCCACTTCCTCACAGCTAACAAGTACATAAGCAAAATGAGCAATAGTGAGGTACAACGGATGTAAAAGAGAAAACACAGAAACAGAAAAACGGGGGTTGGGGAAAAAGGGGTGAAGAAAATACAAAGGATTGGAAACTGGGGGGAAAAATAATTACATGGACAAAGAGCATTCAAGAGGCAAGAATGTATGAAAGCAAGCAAGGGATGAATATTGAGTGCAGAGTGAAAGTAGAAAGCAGAGAAACAGAAGTCTAACCGAATCAGCACAATTTCCAGCTCTAAATTTCAGCTTCGACTGGCTGGCTACAAGCTTCCCTCTGATCCAAACATCAGTGGCACTGTGGGGTCAACTAAGAGGGCATGACTGATCCCGAATGCAGGTATGCTTAAACCACAAGCTGCTCCAGGGCTAAGGGATAAAGAATATAATAATAAAGGATATGCAACATTGTTCAAGAATGCAAGGGGGGGAAAAGGAACCTGCACCCCTCCTGATCTTTTCCCCAGAATTACTAAAGGTAAGAAAACAAAACGACAACGACAAAAACACTGGGCCGGGTGGAAGGCATGAAGAATCCCATATTCCTAGCTCAGCAGTGAGAAGACAAGCGTCTTTTCCCTAACTGACTGTCCAGGGGAGCAGTTTTACACGTCTTCAACTATAATCCCCCAGGAAAGCCTTATCTTGCAATAGAAAACAGACACCTAGCTCCAGGAAGTCAGCCTTCCAGCCCCATGCCTCAGGTCTGGGTTTGTTTTCTGCAGGGCCTGAAACGAAAAACTGAACACCGGCGAGCTGACGTGACCCACGCCTCGGAGAGTAAGCGGGGGAAAGCAGAGCCGCAGAGCCTCGGCCTGAAAGCTGAGCACAGGCGCCGGTAACTTAAGGCGGGACCTCACGGGAGTTTCCGTGTGCTCCGCGGTCGCCTTCGGACAGCCTCGAGCGAGCAACAGCAAAGGCGCTTCTCTGACACACTGGGCGTCCCTTCTCCCCCGCTGTCTGCGAGCCCCGGCACCCGCGCGCCACCCTCGCCTGTCCCACCCTGCTGCGGGTTTCCAAGCCAGCGCCTCCCCGCACCCTGTCCCGCCCTCTCACACTCCTTCGCCCCCCTCCGCTCACTCCCGCACCCATCTCCCACCCTCACGGGACTCCACGCGTGTGACAGCCCCACCGCGAGACAGCCGCCACCTCAGCATCCTGAGCGCCTTCCCCTCCGGGACCAACCCCAGGACCCCAGCTAGGCCACGCACTCCCGCCCCGAGCGCACCCGCATCCCAGACCCGCGAGTCTTCCCATTCCGGGACACCCCCACACCACGCCCCACGCCCCCTCCTCCACGCTCTCCAGTCTGCCCTCTGCCTCCCCTCCCCACCTGCGCCTTTGGAGCCCCACCTCTGGCACGTCCCTCGGCCCCGCCAACGCCCGGGGCCGCACCTGCAGCTGCTCCCCGGTCCTACTCCCACGGCCTTCTCACCCGGCCTGTGCTCCTCAGGAATCCGCTCGGCTCCCACGGCCATCCGCTCAGCGGCGCACTCAACCCTGGAGAGGCCGGGTCCGCCTCCCGGACGGCTCCCCATTGGCTGGCTCAGGGCCGACGCGACACTTCGGGAGCACGATAGGGTTGCGGGACTGTCTGTCAGACCCAGAGGCGGGAACAAAGTCGGGCTCCCACTTCTTAAATGGACAATACAGAAGTCACTTAGCTCCCCTGTAGGCGGGACTTTGTGCTTCCGCCGAGCTGTGATTGGCCCGCTGGGGAGAGCAAGACCACGGAGAAAGCGCTCAAGGCAGTTTGGTTGAGGGCCGAGGAGTGACGTGTCGGTCTGCGGACCGCGAGGAAGTCGCGGGGTGGGGAACGTGGGGCCCGTTGACCCCACTCACGTGGCCAGAAGCGGAAACTACGCGTAGGAACAGCCGAAACTCACAGGTACCCAAGAATCAGGAACCCAAGGTTTGTCTGGTAGCAACTTCAGGAAATAAACGGGAGCATGGAGACAAGAATCAAAATGTGATTTCATATCCCCGATTATGAGACTTTTTGTTCTTTAAGGTAGAAACTGCCACTTAGCAGAAGGGTCACGTTTCCTACGTGTGGTCAGTGAAAACGCGAACGCTTCCCGGTGCAGACCGTCGGGTCTCCCACGGCCCCGCAGGAACCCGCGCGCTCCACGCGCTTCCCGTCTGGGCCCCGAGCGCTGGTC